GAAAGTAAAGTGATCTTGATTTTGCATCAGCCTTAGAGAATAATAAAGTTGGTCGTTAAGCCATGATGCCTGTTTTGTTACTTACCAGCAAACGGTGGAATATTCCGCTCCAAAGGAGGATGAAGGAGGTTACTACGAAACCGTTTATTCACTCCAATCAAGTCTTCGCGGAGTTGGTTACATATCTTCTGGTAACGAACAGCGTGATCCAGATCTGATATTTGCAGAGTCTCCAACCTCTCCTGAAGCCGAATCACTGCGCATAGACCCGATGGCTTCTTAAAGTAGGCGTGGATTGCTGCAAGCAACGCAGTCTAAATTAACATGAAGTATAAAAAAGAAGAGAAAACAGGATCAAAATCCGATCTTGTCAAAACTTGTCTTGACTAGACTACGCCCTGCAGAAAGTTGACAAAAAAAGAGTGTTCGGAAAGGCCCAACCTCAAACCGACCAACTCAGCAAAAGGGTTCGGCCGAATAAGGCTGGTCTATCAAAATCAGTTGAATTTCAGCGATTGTTATAGAAGATGAGTACCCGGAAAGATTTTACTTTTGTAGTTAGTATCCATTAGCAATAATAACAGTTATTATGAGCTTGATTGTCTCTGAAGTTTACTAACTTTGACTGATTCCTGGTTTGGATCGATAGCGATACCGATCGCGATGGACTAAAGAGATAGATTAATGTTTTGACCTTGCTTTTGTTTCATCTGCAGGCCCAATGAGATTCGAAATGTAGAGCATTCTTGGCATTTTATTTACAAATTTGTTCCAAATACTCCTTGTAGGATTAAGTTAGTAGTCATTGACTTGATGCTAACAAGAGGTCAGAGTCAAACAGCAGGGAGGAGGAAATTGGGAAGTTAAATAAACATTATCGTTATAATGTAGGCTTTCGAGACTAACAGTAATTGGGAATAAGAACTGTGTTCACATGATTGAGTTTAATGCAAATAGGGTGGTGATGGTAGTTCACTTTTTCCACAATTATACCATTTGATCCTAGTTTTCCATTAAATTAAACATAAACTTGCTCCCAAAAGGCATTTTCACCCAGTGGTCGAACCGCGGTTCAATCTATCCTGGATGAGAATATCTTTTCGGAAGCAAGTCTGTGCAAAATGCAATAGTCACGTTGTGGGAAGATTCTACTACCAGTCATTCACCTTAACGAAATATAGTGAAATTGCATCTTTTACATAT